TTCTTTAGAAATTTTCTCCACTATGCTAATGTTGACAAGCAAAGAAAACAACAATACGAACTTCAAGAGTACTTCGAGTAGATTGAAACATATGCGGACATCTATTAAACTTAAGTTGTCAATGGAAAGTATGGAAAGATAAAAATCGATCAATTTGAGATGATCGGCTTTAGTAAAATAGTAGCCGTAAAGTGAGATGAATTGTTGCAATTTGGAAGACCAAACTGAAAAACCTGGTCGTATTTCACGCAGTTGAATAATACGTGAGAGGTGCATACGGATCTCGTCGAATTCTGCATAAGCTTGACGTTGAATTGAATCGTAGAAGGGCAGGTATCTGTTATAAACATTTGGTTTTTGAAGAGTGCTATCGTCCATTTTTTTCTTTACCATGAATCATTAAAATGTGTAATAAGCAAAAATCACAAGTCACATTTATAGAAGAAAAGTGGAGCAACCCAAGAGACCAATGCTGTGGGAGGATGCTGGGGATTTTCCCGCAAACTTGCTTTCTACCTGCAAGCCTTCGATATATATCTTATTCGCAGAAATTGGCGCATGATTTTCCCTACAAAAATCTGGCCAGATCCATTAAGAGCTCTGAAACCCAGTTCTAATTGAAAGATAAAATTTTGTTAAACTGTTGTATTCAGATTCCTCGAGAAAAGACAAGAGACGTGGATGAAACGAGTCATGGCAATCAGAGGGTGTGGGTGTGCATCATATTAACATTCGTACCACACCCACACCCTTCCCACGAATTCCCACTAATTCCAAGAATAGCCACGCATTCCCGCTAATCCCATGAATTCCGTGTCGAGTTATCATTCTCTCTTTCTCACTTGTCATACGCAGATGGAGAATAGTGAAGCACCAGCTTCTCCATGTCCAAACCCACGACCATATCCACACCCACACCCCACACATTGGGGAATTGCACTGAATTCCGCCCCTTTCCGGAATCCAGTGATCACTCTGATAATGTTGTTTCTTACTCCTCAATGTTCAATGCGATTCCCGAACGGAATTCCCGGGAATTGGGTCGAGCGGGATTTGCACGGAATTGCTAGGAATTCCGGACCGGAATCGGCTCGTCACTAAATGGATGAGGGATGAACAATAGTAATGAAAATTGCAGTTCCGAAATTGCACGGAATTCGTAGGATTTCTGAAAATTCCGACTGATTCCGGAATTCGCAGATCACTGTGATATTGTTGAGGACATGGCAAGTTCCTATTGCCAGGAAATTCAAATTTCGTTCAATCAACATTAAGAAAATAGATTATGTAACGGAAGCATTCCCTACTCTACTTGCAGACTAAATTAGAACTAGTGAAGCAATCGTACGATAAATCAGAAAAGTGAATGAACCACACATATATACTCTTAACGGCCGAAAGTAACGATTAGTATACAATAGTAACTGTACTTAGAAAGTAAGTACACATTTTTGCGTCAGGTAGGGTTGAGTGAGGAAATTCATTTAAATTTCCAAGTTACTATCTATACTTCTTTGGATTGGATGAAGGTGGTTATGGATGTGGGTGTCGGTGTCGGTGTTGATCTTCTCGATTCACACCCACACACCCATTTGCGATTTGTATTCTTGCTGCATCCCTGCAATTGGTTTTATAGCCTTCGAAAGGTGCCAATGTTGACTTAAACTTATTAAATATTCATACTCCTCCTGCTACATACTTATCACATTATTCGACATGAAAAAAACGTTTTTTATGTGTTAATAACTGACACGGCTGATATCGTCTCGTTCCACCCAGACAAAAACTACCATGAAATTATCAGTTTACCTAGTGCTTACATCTTCCACATATAATCAAAAAGTAAACAGATAACACGTTGGAGAAGAGGTGAGCTGATCATTGATAAATAAATCGTCTATCATTCATATGCCTTCAGATATGAGGTATATGGCCAAGAATGCGGTGTATTGTGTGTTTAGATGAATTTGTTTTGGTATTGTCATCAATAGGCAATCCAAGGATATGACTGTGGCTGGATATGGATTTGGTGTGGATGCTGATGTGAGTATGACTGTGATTGTGGCTGTATATCCGAGCAGTTATCCTATTCCGCAATGTTGAACATTTCGAAACCAGCTCCACCCGAGGAATCAATTCCCTCAATCCCAGAATCACCTACAACCAGGCACCCTTTGATTCCGAAATCCATTCGAGCGATTAGCGGAATTCCTAGCAAATCCATGTAATTGAGGATGTGGGTGTGAATCGAGAAGATCAATACCTACATCATCAGGCACTGAAACTATTTCTATGGAATTCTAAATCGTTTTTTATCTATTCAACCGTATTTCTACGAGTTTTGAGTGAGAAATTTAGTTTTTATTGAAAAATCACTAGACCGATTTTTCTCATGCTACCATTGTAGACACCTTTTCTCAGCATAGGAAAATGATATTTAAAAGAATCGAGCCATATTTTGTAGCTCGTCGAATGGCGCTTCGAATGATGTATGAATGAAAGCTCTATCTTACAGTAAAACAAACTAGATAGATTTACAAAATGAACGAGTATAAACCAGAGTCATATTGACAGCTTGTCTTTTCAAATTGAATATGCAACATCTGATAAACCGCTAAATAACATATCTAGACTCATTTTCTACGAGGAATTAGAAAATCAAATTGGTGAGAAGTAAAAGTGGAACAGGAGAAAAATAACGTTGTTTCCCAAAAAGAAATTGTTTTGGTGATTTTTACACCCTCTCAGTTTTTTGCAGTTTCCTCCATGAAGATTTTCTCTAATCAAAAACGTAAGTAGATATTCGTGATCAGCTTGAAAAACTGAATCTATTGGTGTACATTTAAGCGAAAAATATGAAGTGCTGTAATTTTGAATTACGCGCACGTTATGATGATATCGATTTTTTGCTTCGTATCTATCAGCTACAAAGAATTCATGAATGTTTCTATGCTTCTATTTTTTTCTTCATTGACCTCCTCCTTGAGATTATATTTCTTACCAATTGTATGTGGAAAATTCTCCTGCAAATATGTAATGCAGATTTTGATTCAATGGTTTTCATGATGATGAAGGAAAATTTTGAACAAGTAATACAACTGGGTATTATTTTATTTTATTTTTATTTCGAAATACTGGTGCTCGAATGCTTTATGATTCTATCAAATTCTAGCTCAATGCTATGGTAACGTCTTCAGTTGGATTTAAGATTCATCCATCGATATTGAACACCGTATATCGAAATATCTAAACAAAATGGATAAAATTTTGTTCGTTATTTTTATGCTTATTTTCTGTTTTAACTATCTTGCAAAAGTAAACGTTGATTACAGAATGATTTGACTTTTTTTAGTGTAATAAAATATACATTACAAGAATATAAATGTTTTAGATAAAGAAGGCACCCCCATTTAAATAAACCTGAAAACCACACTGATAAGCTTTTAGTTTAAAAAGAATTCTTTTGATTATATTTCAACAGACAAACCCCTTGCTATCGAAATTATTGCGTATTCATACATGAAATTTTTACTCGTCTGCATTTTAATTTTTTCACTTGTCCAAATTGGACACAGTGCTTTGACTGCGACAGCAAATATTCATGTAGATTCTACTTCAGTTGCAATTGGTACTGTATTATTTCATCAACGTGACGCTAATTCTCCAGTTCGTGTTGTTGGTATAATAGACGGCCTTAAAAATAACACTGTTCATGTATGTCGTCTATGAAATGCTAGAAATTTATTAAATGTTTTCTTCAGGGCTTTCATGTACATAGAGATGCGTTAATGAATGGTGAACTTAATTGTACAGCTGCTGGTCCTCATTTTAATCCGTATAGTATGCTACAGCAAGATTTATTAAAAATAAATATGCTGATTATTTCGTGTCTAGGTACACTACATGGTCCACGTGAAGCTGATTTGGGCCATCGACATGTTGGTGATCTTGGAAATTTAACAGCAAATGATAATGGTATAATTATTATTGAATTGACTGATTCAATTATTGATCTATACAATGCTACGAGATCTGTTGCTAATCGAACCATCGTTCTACATGCCATGAGAGATGATGGTGGCAAAGGTGGCTTTCCAGATAGTAATACAACTGGGTATTGATTTTGCTTCATGTAAGAGTCTTGTTTGAAAACTTTGATTCCTTGTATTTCAGAGACGCTGGACCTCGTATAGCTTGCGGCGTTATCAGTTTGGCAATGATAGAGTCAGATACCAATTCACAATCACCGAAAATTTCTACAATGGTTACTGATTTTTTTCGAAAATTATTTCCTTAAATATATGATGTCATAATTTTTTAAACTTCATATTTACATGATTCGCATATATTTTATACTATCAATAAAATATAATTGTTAGCTGAGTAAAATTTGAAAAACCATTTGAATTTTTTATATCTTGATATTATTATCAAAAATTTAATTTTTAATACCTCAAATAAGCTTTTCAAAGAGACGTCATCATTGGTGGAGGACGAGGGTGTGAATACGATAAGGTTGTCAGTATCTGTTCTTTCTATATAAAAAAAAAACGCTATATCGTTGGTTTCGTGCACATCTTTCATAGGCCTACTTCAAGTTACAAAATATTATATGTTTTTTTTAGTATTTCATTGAAGATGATTACCCTCGGGTTTTTTTGCTTATTTATACTCTTTGGATTAGCTAATCTTGAACTTATGCTCTTAGTGTGATCATGGTTGAGAGTCTTTTACTTGTTTGTCTCAAATGTTTTACAATTTTGTTTTTTTCTTCCTTTTTTTAATTTTTTTTATTAATTATTATCTGATTCTTTTTAATAATTAATTATTTATATTTTTAAGGCGTTTCAGAGATATCTTTCTCCTTCTTCAGTTTTATTTTTTTTGGTGTTATGTTTGTTTCTACTATTTACAATACGTATCTGACTATTATTTTTCTTTTTCTTTTCTTTTTCTTTAATAGTGGAACTGAATGACAAGACGGTAATACTGGCCGATAAAACTTATATGTTTTGATGTTCCGTTCCACTATTAAAGAAAAAGAAAAATAATAGTCAGATACGTATTGTAAATAGTAGAAACAAACATAACACCAAAAAAAATAAAACTAAAGAAGGAGAAAGATATCTCCGAAACGCCTTAAAAATATAAATAATTAATTATTAAAAAGAATCAGATAATAATTAATAAAAAACATTAAAAAAAGGAAGAAGAAAACAAGCTTATAAAATTATAATGACCTTCCTAAACACATGCAATTGTCTCAACTGTTGTCCTTTAATTTCTCTTCGGTTATCTTTGCACATACTTTTGTCTACGACAACGTTTCTTTCTTTCTTTGCAGAACAGGAATAAATATGGCTTCTTGCGTTGACTTTATCTGATTTAATTACATACATTGTTTCTTCTTCGTCATATAAAAGATTTAACGTTTCCTTCATGCATTATCAAACTTCATAATCTCTTTGACAATTACTTGTTCGATTGAGATTTTTGTATTAGAAAATAATATTTCTGTGCTTGATTTTCTGATAATCTCTTTTCAATTCATGAAATACGTTTAATCTGCACTAATCTTTTGCAGCTTCTTATTTTTTTCTTTTCTATTTTTGCATAATATTAACTTTGAGTTGGTGCTTCATTGTTGTTCTCTTTTTTCATATTTGTTTATGCAACTTCGATGAATTACGCTGTGTCTTGATGCTTGGATGTTTTGCTTTAAAATATCTCAGAGAAAATCAAACTTCGCACCAAAATAAACGCGAGGTAGAATATACGTTGAATTGAATGGACAGCTAGAAAATAATTTTATTATATTATACGATAGATTTTTACTTTCGCTTGTATAATGTAAATATATCTTCCTCGTATTTATTTTGTTTCGAAATCAGAAAAACTTTTAAGAACGGTTCGAGCAACTTTTTTCAAAATTCTTTTAGTTATTCATCAAGAAGAGACTATAAGATATACAATGCCATAAAGTATTTTTCCCATGGATATAAATCTATCGAATTAATCACCCTGGAGGATTATTCTGACAATCAGATCCAGTAATATCCTATAGGAATCCTATCGGATTCAAAATGAATTTCCAATAAACCAACAAATTCCTATGGGATTCTGAGTTGTGGAATTACATTCGGATCCCTAGTGTCTGAATAACATTGGATAATCATCGGATCCTACTGTCGGATTGTGACGGATCCAACGCTCGACTCGGACTACCCTCTAATGTTGACTTGAGGTACTAATTAATGGTCAATTAATTAAATGCTTCTTTCCGTTGGATCCGTTAGTGGTTCCGTGACCCGAAATCCCATCGGATTTTATAGGCTGGTTGGATCCGATATCGGATTCATTCACTTGGGCAGAAGAGAATATGCTGAATTTGATGAGAAAATAATCATCGATAGGAATACCACTAAAAATGAGTGATAGAAGCTTCATCGTGTTTTTTCTTGTTTGGTCGAAACTTATTCAGAGAAAAATTTTCAATTAAAGTAACAATGCAAATTTATAAAAGCTAAATTTTTTATTCTGATAATCTTCGAATATTTCCATTTTCTACAAACTTAGTGTAATATAACATCAGTTTCAAGTTTGCTTGGTGCATATGTTTTTAACCCAGTTTCTTCACTTCTATGTTTGTATTTTCAGAATTTTTTTATGGTTTCATGTTTCTTTACAATCAATGGCTAATAATTTCATCATTGATTTATTTATTGATCACGTTTCCAAATTTTATTTAATGTACTTGTGAAAGAAATTCAGAAAAATTAAAGCTTATGCAGAAGAATATTTTTATTTGAATATTTAATTAAACAAGTTTTTCTTTCTGACGTCACTGAGTCATGCGAGACAAAGAATCTTCGTCTATTAGCACAAGTCTCGTTCATGCTCTGAAAAATATTATATAAGAAATCTATCAGCGGTGGAACAGGTTCACTTCGGATCGGGATTTCATCAGTTGGAGATTTTGAGAAATCTTCTTTGTGAATCCTATTTTTGGTCAAAACAACTAAGATGTGACATATTTTTCTGTCAGCATGCGCGAAAAAGTGAGTATATATTACATATGATCTTAAACTATTTCATATTTGGAGAGGTTAATTCTGAAAATTTGACAGTTTTCGCTGTTTTTTTTAACCAGTACCAGTATTCACCGGTAAGACGTCATTTTCCAACTGGTTCCAGATCTGATATTTATATGCATGGCAATGTATGTTCTACAATATTGTATATTGAGTTTTGTAAATAACATATGCAGTCTGATATAGTCAGTATTGCTAATGAAAAGGTCACTACGTAAAAACTTTACATAATAGACCGAGAAAATTTGCGGAATTTAGTATATAATAGAACAGGTTTTTTTTCGTGGAAAATTGAGGAAAATTCGATGCCGGTGGATAAAAAACACCAGTGAAGTTATATTCAATAATCAATACCCATAAGAATCAGCTATGCGTATTTGACTTTAGACTCCTCCAAATGTTACAGCTTCTCTCTCAAAAATATTATTTTGAAATAATTTAGATGACGTATTTTTCTAAAAAAAGACAGCCGAAGAATTAACAACATTATAAATTCAGAAAAACCAAGAATAGACATTGAGTTCTTGTATGCCAACTATCCGATGACCAGAGACTTTCTAAATAGGTAAAAAAACGATTACTCTCAACATACTACAGCAACGATCGATTTCATTAGAAAAAATAATTTTTGTCACACCAATGGAGATGAAAAAACATTTCGACAAACATCATCAATAGCGTAATTTTAAAAAAGTACCAAAAGTCTGCATTTATTTTCTTGCTCACTTTTTCAGATACTTGATCAGATTCAAATCATCTAGATTCTTCATTCGTAATTCAGTTAAACATAGCAAATATTTTGTGCGTACATTCAAGCCAGACTTGGAGTCAGTTGAAAAATTCGAATTTTGATTAAACTTATCGCAAAAGACTTTCTGTTTTATTTTTATAATACTCTTTCAGTTTCAAGGCAAAATGTAATGAAAAACAAGCAACAATGGTATGATTTCTCTCAATATGGCTAATGCTATTGTGTGGAACTCATAGAAATATTGACATTAAATCAATGTTTCAAAAAATGAAGATTTCAACCATGACGACTGTTTATGTGGAAAGTATTCATTACCTTCTAAAAAAACAACACACATTCTATCAAATCAATTTGTCGATGTATATTTTTCTTGTTCTAAAGCCACATAAGTGCAGTCATGCATTGTTATATATAGTCAATATTCTTTCTTTTCATACGTATAGTGTGTTAGACAGTTGCGAACGTATGTGATCTTTCTTGCAGAGAATATCATTTTGAAAATTTACTGAAAAACATTCACGGCGATGGTAAGTTCAAAATTTAACAAACTGATATCTTGGAAAAAAGACAAAAACGTGTTGTGAACAAAAATATGAAGAATAAGTCTTGAATAATAAGCTCAATGTTTCATGTTATATAAATCTGTAGGAAATTGTAAACGTGCATATCAGTAACGAAAAGCTTCTCGTTTTAAGAGTATGGCTGTGACACAGAGAATAAAATGGAAGGTTGTAATATACTACTTGATTGCATGTAAAATTTAAAATGCATGCTATTGAATAGCTAATAAAAAGATGATCGAATAGAATAAGATGCACACAACAAAAGTATGAGCTTAGATAGAAATTAATCCTAGTTAAAAACTAAATAATTCTCACATCGTTTCAGAAATGCTAGAGTTTTTCTTCGACACTACGCATAATTTCTTCTATAAACGAAAAAATTTCAAGCATAGGCTATCGGATACTCTACAATTGTACACATCACTAAATGTAATTGAATGTAACGATATATTGTGTTACGTTGACTACATAAGAAAATTGATAATATATTGATATCGCCAAATTTTTCACTCATATAGTAACATATTCTCCATGAAGTGCTGAGGATTAGACAAATAACTGATCGGTGACATAAATCCTCGTTTCAAGCGCAAAAATGACGTTCAGGTCAAAAATGCTTGAAAACTGAACTTAAGATAAAGACACTAAACAAACAAAACAGTAACAAAAATTTACGTTACCCAACCACGTCACACCACTGTACAAATGAATTTGCAGCGCATTAATGAAATAGTCAGTGGGAATAATGCTTTGGGGCAGGCCTCGAAAGGGGCCGCCCGGCCCAGAGGGATTTTTCTTCCGGGCCGGGCGGGCCTACATTTTTGTCGGGCCGCCCGGCCCAAACTTTATTGCTGTTTTCAAAGAAGATTTCCCATGTAAGGAAACAGAAAAA